TAACGAACACTCAAGAACTCTGAAAAAGATATGCGTGGAGAGAAATGACGTTTAGAGCAGGAAAAAACTGTTCGCTGCGACCGATTTAGTGGGCGCGCTGTTGTTGACCAGGAGAATGCCAAGCAAACACGTGTTGCGATTGCATATGTCGAAGTCGGTGAACAACGTAGTGAACAAAGTTCGTTGGCTTGACGAAGGAGAGAAACAAGACGAAAAAGAATCGCGCGGAATGTTTTTCGGATGTTGTTTCCCCCATTGAATTTCGTGCTAAATGGCATTTTTGTTTGGCACAGAACCTACGTTCTGGCCCTTGCCTTTCCTCTGGAGCCACGGTTCTATTTTTGTGGCTTCTTCCTTTTTAATGAGCATTATCAACTGCTTTAGCGGCTTATTCATATTTGTAATCTTAACGAATGTTCAGATTTACCATTCCATTAATCCTTTGGTTGGATACGACGACCTTTCAATTGAGGGACTTCCGTTGTGTGAAACGACATCTTCAGAAGTAGCAAATTATTTTTGTGCACCCAAATAACCGTCTGAACAAACTAATTACGCCGCTCCGTTAGCATGTCCTATAGAAACTGGTGCGCGCCATTCGGATGGCCTACGGATTATCGGCTTACAGTAACCATCTCGTCGGACTCCGCAACAAAATTAACCAGCAGGTTGACAACCAACTGAACGTCATGCCGTTGCGCGAAAATTTTGCAAAATTGGCTTCCTTCTCTGGGCGTCCATCCTAGCACCTACCTGTGAAGTTTCGCAGCTTCCTTCGACTTTTCCAGAGTTTTTTTGCAAAATTGTCTCCATAGTTCTCAGAAACGCTACCACCGGGCAGATCTGCGGGAAACTTTTCACAACCCACTGTTCAGGGACTTCCGCTACAAAATTATCTGCAGGTTGGCACAAGGGGCACCTCCTGCCCGAACCGTGTTAGGAAAGATTTTGCCGAAATTATGCCCTTTCCCTCGAAAATGTTCCTAGCTCTAGTACAACTCCTCCCCAATCTCACCACTGTGTTCCTAGATATTATTCAAGCCTCCTACAACGCTCTCCAAAGCTTGACAAAATTCCCTGGATTTCCCTCAAGAAACAAATTGGTGTTCCGAGCAGGACTGCTTTTTCACAAAAGGGCAAACACGACTTGCGACCTCCTCCTCTATTCACGGGAATACGACCCCTCGCTGGGACCCTCAACTAAGGCTGCCCTGGCCGCAATAACCGAACTACGTCTTCTTTCATTCGAGCAACAAAATTTTGATGATCTTGCCGAAATAACAGGATCGCTTCGACGAGGGTTCTATTCAAATGTCTGTACTATCAATTATTTGCTGTTAATATACTATGTTACTTAAAACTCCACATAACATTCATTCGCCGATACTGAACCACACCGCGGATTGACGCGCAGACACGTGTTTGCCGTTTTGGGGAAGCCTATGCAAAATACGACCATCTCCCTTCGAATTTCCTTTTTTTTAATATCTCCAAATTTTCCGAATAACTATCGTTCGGAACGCGGAGTGGAGAGGGAGAGGCACAGAACGCATGAGCGCAGATGAAACGGGAAAATCCTGAAATTCAGCAACATCACACAACAGAAATGGGTCTTCTCAAAAGGCAATAACAACCGCCCCCTCCCTCCCTCGCACCCATAAAAGACCTCGTCGTGGGAAGGCCAACATACGCCGTTGTGCTGCCAACCCGGAACTACTCGATCACGTTTTTTTGGCAAACTAAATTTCAGCAGATTTTGCTGAACAATAGGACTGCTCTGGTGGGGATCCTATTCAAAATTTCTGTACTATTCAATAGTTTTCTTGATATGTATTTACTATACTAATAAACAATTCATCGTCATAGTATACAGTATGTTTGTGTAGTAGGGCTATTCTGCTGTGTCGGCGCCAATAGAGAAGAACGAGGAGCATGCCATCAAACAACGGGAGTGCGAACGCTCTCCGGCTGCTATATTTCTCGCTTATGGTTGCTTTCTCAGTGACGAGAGCGACGGGGCGACGACCACATGTTTTTGCTGCTGGCTAGGCTGGCTTGATCACTGGACGATCGTTGCTACAGCGGCGCCCTGTGTGCCATGCTAGTTACTAGTTATAATCGAGCACTACTACTAACCAGTATTTCGTGCAAAGTGTTCCATTTTTATTGAATTTCCGGTATTCTTGCACGATAATGATCACATATCGGCCTGCCTAATATGTATCTATCAGGATTTTGCTAGCAACTCTTGCACATCTACGAAACAAAAGATCCAACAATCTCATTAAAGGGACATAATCCGGTGTGATATCTTTCATTTTTCAAAAGAACATTTCTAATGATTACAAGTTTCCAGCTAGTAAACTCAGTTTCCAGACAAGTTAGCCATCTGCTACAAAGGCGTCTGTTTTATTAATCATTTATCTTATGAAAGAGATTGAAGCGCCTCCTTCTGTGAAGCTTCCTAATTCCTTTCTAAGCCCCGTCCTGTATAGTAGCGCGAAAAAAAGCTATGTGACAGGCAAGAATAGGGCTCTTTTCAGGTGTTTATTTGAATTTATGGTTAAATATCTCCAAAAAATATGGAAGCAATCGCGTCGCTGTTTCTTACTGAGATATAGATGGGTACGTGCGGTAGGGCGGGCAGTCACTGAGTGAAAACGGTTGCGACAGGGCTTGTGGCCATACCCGCACTCAGCCCTTCCACCAATGACGTGTGCAGTAAACGCCCGCCCCCCGCCTCATGCTCACTGAATTTAAACATTTAACGAACTGTTCTAATTTACTCATAGTTTATTCAGCTTTTCCCGGCGCTGAGCGTGACGATGTTGTGAATCGTTGATAAAGTCGTTAAATACTAGTTCGTCGCTGTACCTTGGATCTCGTAGTATCACTTACTATAGTCGTCACGTTACGTACTAGGTTTGACGTTTGAACCAACGTCATCTCGGATCTAGGCACATTAAAAGACTTATTAAAGGTTACTTGTTGTAATAATTTATTTCAGAACAAAATGTAATTTCGCTGTTGACGATTCTTGGACTGGCAGCCGCAGCCCCTTCGCCGAAATGCTAATCACTCATCATTGCCACTTTGAGTCGATTATTGGTTTCTCGTGTGTGGGGGGTTTCGGAATGAACACACGCACACAAACGGCTGCGCTCCGTCACAATCTCGCCGCGCTTCGCTCGTTTTGCCCTTTAAAGAACGAGACTTCTGGTTGTTGAAAGCGGTTAAAGGTTCAAGTTCAGTTCTGACGCACTGTAGCCTTCAGAGTCATCACTTTTCTATTGCTCCAATAGCGTGCCTCACGTACTCGGCGTTTAATCTCGGCTACGCCCCCCCCCAACGCCCACCTCATTCCCTGTTTTCTGGGCGGTTACTCACACGAGCGGAGGCCTAATTCTTCAATAAGGTTTTGTCCTCTCATAGATCGTCTGCTTTTTCTTGGTAAAGAGCTGAGTTGGGAAGGGTAAAGAGCCTTTGTCTGGACCTTACCCTGGACGTTCACTCTAGATTCCTCTAGAGTTCTGCATCACCCTGAATGCAGCAAATTGGCCGAGGAGCGAAACAAGTAAGGATGTTGTAGTATGGATTTTTGGTTTTCCTTGCTTGAGAGTATGGAACATGGATCTTCTGGCACGCTGATCACGACGAACGAGTCAACAGGAGGATGTGAAGGTTTTGATTTGGCCCGCCCGATGTTCAGCAAAACACACCCGCCCACTTCTCCCTTCTATCGGCAGCCAGCCGACGACGTCGTTTCGTCGCCATCGTCGGCGCCGCCACTCCTACGTGTTTAATTCTTTGATCAGCATGTCTAGTGCTGTGCCCACGATTTCGCCCGCGAATAGCGCCTCGAATCCCCGACTCATCGTCGTCGTTGCTTTAGGAAACTGGCTCGGGTTTGCACGATGCCAAAAACCGATTAATGTTCTTCGTCGCTCTCGCTCTGTTCCAGAAAAAACCGTTTGTTGAGCTGAATGGCAGGAGAATTCCCGACGAATCCACCCCCACACTCTGGTATTTCTGCACTTTGCCGTGAAACCGCGCGTGAGTTTGGCCCGAGTTTTTGCACACCAAGTGGCGGCACACACTACACATCGACACACAACACACACATCTGGTGTACATTCGCCACCGTCACATTTGCCGTTGACTCTCCGAAAAATACCTGGCAACACACAGTGCAGGTGACAGACGGCGCTTTCTCCCACCCCCCTTTCTCCCATACTATGTTCAGTCGCGCAACGGTTCTGTCGCGCGAGTCGGCCTGATATATCGCCCGTTACACTCACCTTGGCATAAGCCCAACTAAGAACGTTATTGTTCGACGCAAAGGGTTTTTTTCGTCCAAAGATAGATAAATGGCACCGGTCGGACGTTCCCACTGGGCGAAAAAAGTGCCATAGAACCCTGCGCAATGGCAACTTTTAACAGTTTCATGCGTTGACGCGATTCAATCTGTGTTCGACGATTGACGGCCACTGACAATTCCTTACCCCGTTCACCTTTACTCCACTTTTCAATGGGGTAATACCATCACTGCAACTCGTTGACGTGCCAAGATTCTTTTCAACGCGAAAACGTAAGACGTCAATGGAACGAACATTTTGCAGAATACGATACCTTAGCAATTTTGCTATTTTAAAATATCTGTGCAATTTGCATATTTTTCGTCCAAACCGGTATATGTCTATTCGTGTCTGCTGGTCAATGATCGAATGAAGTAGCATCTGTGTGCGTGAAATCAGATTTTTGGCCTCGATTGCCATTCGGACTGCCTCCGAAGCGCTGCATCTACGAACGCGCGACCGCCACGCCCCTATCGCTCCAGACCATTTGCTTTGGGAAATCGTTATAGTTTAGCCCAGCCGTAGTTCAGCGACGACAACTTGTAGTTGAAGCAATTCCCGTCAGTACAGTAACGTGCAGTTATTCATTGCTTCGCTAATTCCCGTACTGGTCGATGAACGCCTGTCTTCCTTTTGGGCCGGGCCCATCAATTGATCGCTAATGTGTCTGCGCCTCTTTTGTATCGCTGGGCTGGGCTGACGATCGAAGTGCTCCTTGGAAATTTTCTATGTCGCTCTGGCAATCCAGTGGGGGTCTTCGAACTTTGCCTTCATATCGTGTCACATTGCGTGACAGAGAGATAGACTCGAGAATCGTGAGATAGGTGACTGAGAGTGCAGAGAGGTTCAAAAGAAAGAGTTAAGGTGTATCATTCGAAAACATTCTCATTCGCATTCATTTCATCAAAAATCATTACAGATTTCTGTGATCTTTTGCTTCCCTTAACTGTTATATTGTACTTGTAGTCTATCCTATTCACGAGTAAAATGTATATATCTTTTACGTTTGTTCTCTAATAGTTACTGGCATTTGTGTTTGTTCTTCTCATTTTAGTGAATCAGCTGATTCGTGTATCGTCGTGCATCACCGCATGCGCTGGCCATTTGTGATGCATCGGTGACAGTCAGTGATTGTGCTCTTCATCAACCGTACTTATTCAGCGATTGGTTTCCTGTTCTTGCATCTCATTACTTCTCTCATGGTCCGGGTTAAATCGGTTACGGCGCTAATAGCGTTGGGGGAGGAGGTGGGGTGGGAAGCATTAACGGCCTTCCCTGTGTAAACTGGGAAAAGTGGGATTAACCTTATTTGGCCTCAACTCCTAACCTGAGCAGAATACCGTAACTGAAATTGGGCCCCCCCCCACACCTGAGCTCTCCCTCTCAAGACCTACTTTCCTGTAGACAATTAGTCCTCATCACCATTACTGCTACTTCTAGTTTCCCCCAAATAGTCCCATCTTAGGTGGCCCAAGGTTTAAGCGCCACTTCGGGACCGTATTTGCGAATTGGTTCTGTTCCTAATCTGATTACTTCTTTACTCATTGAGCCAAGAACAAATCGGTTGCGGCGCTAAGAGCTTTAGGTGAGGCTTTGGGTGAGGTGGACGGCATTTACAGGCTCCTTGTGCGAAACTGGGCTTAACCTTATCCATCAGAATTACAGTAATTAAAATTGCTTCGCTCATGCCCCTTTGCTTCTTACGACCTAGCCAAAGATCCCCATCACTTAGTTACGGTAATTCTAATTTCGCCAAAGAGTCCTCTAAATTGCCCCACGGCTATTAGCACCTCGGCTGCTAACATTTTGGGACCGTATCACTCCACTCATCGTCTCGGGATGCTTGTTCACCACGGAGCCTCTCTCCTCCCTACTCTTTTCTTCTACTTTCTTTTTTCTCTTCCTTCCTTCTCCCTCTTTCTTCTTTTTCCGTCCCCCCTCAATTGCTGGGCGGAATAGATACTATGCGGAAATACCTTGGCCCTCACATGGAGAAGCATTCGCGGCTGACAGAACCCCCTGTAACCTTCTACTCGTGCAGGTGTGTCGCAAGTTGGTCCAGTTCGGGGCTACTGTACGCGGCCGGCGGAAAACTAGCTTTGCTTTCGTAAGGTGCCAGTGGCCTCTTGAATTTCGCTTGGACACCCACGTTGCCCTTTTGAGCAGAACGACGACTGATGTAAAAGCTAACGTCATTTCCGTTTTGCTTTTTTTCGCATCACTTTGTGGCATTCAGCCGCATCTTTTAAGCGCTGTGAGAAACGGGTAGCCGCTAAAACGCGAAGTCGCGTCGGGGTATCCAGCAGCCATGCACTCAGTTTTGACCTTCATGCTATTGCTCGGCGGGAAGCGCGTCTGGAGGATTTCCGCCCTCTTAAGGAAGCCCGAATTTACAAAGTACTGTGCTGATCATCAATCTGTTTAGCCGTATTTCATAACATGTTTACCGTATCGGTACTCGATCTTGCCATCATCAGTGAACTTTCGTCTCTGCAGTTCGTTGCCGTGCTGATAGGGGCCAAGTGGCCAAGGCAGCGACTTTTTTAAAGTTCATAATTAACTTATCTGTAGATTACTAATTATGTGAACAGTATGTGGACATGATTCGGTCACACGTTTTCGATAGCAAGTCGCGGCCACTCTCGTTCGATCGTCGAATTCCGTTTCGACGATCGAACGCCGGATCATTGGTTTTATGAACACTTACTGAATCATAACCTCGTTACTCATTACTCCTACTTACTTTCTTTGCCCTTTGAAGTCATTTATTTCAATTTCTGAATACCCTAATCGTATCGCATAAGCGTATTTTCACTTGCTGTTGTGTCACTATATGCTTACGGCTCATTGATATTGCCGAATGGATCTTTTGACGAGAAGTGCCCGCAACGCGGCGGTGTGGTCGTCTGCAAATGGCGGACCAGGCGGACGTCTCGTGAACGCGGCGGCAGCCGCCCGCCAGTCGATCGCCTCGCGTTGGTCTTGATTCAGTGTTTATCGCACGAGGAATGACGGACGCCGGAGCTTCGACCGCGGCGTTTGCGTTTGCCGCACTGATGGGCTGCGGATCGCCCAATCAACCTATCGTTTTTCCATGGTATCATTGCTCAAGCCAGAAATTTCTGATTTCTCTCCCAAGCTACTTGGAAATACTGAAGAGTCACCATATGGTAAGTTATTTAGAGTCCATCTTTAGTTGTTTTCATCTGTTTGTCGAATGTCTGTCATTCGCCTTTCAAGTGGTCTCTCGCTCTATTTTTGTACAATTCAGGGCTTATTTGCCTTTACAAAGACCACAGAATTTCTTGCTCAAGAGGCAGTTTTCTGTAGCCCTCAGCTTTTAGTTCCTTCCTTAACCCCGTAGGCCTCTATTTCGCCTTCTTTCGATCTAGGCCTCTATATATTCCATATTCTCGGGAAAGTTGTCATGAAGTAATCGGAAGAATTAGGATCGTCAGAATTTCCTTGTTGCGAAATTTCCTTGTTTCGTTCCGAGACGCTTTCAACTTCCTCTGCGATTTTCTATGACAGCGTTGTGCACGGCGCAACGTGGACCAAGCTGGACCCATCCTTCATCTTTTTACGTTTGTATTGAAATTTGGGATGGATATAGAGACTAGTCGCCTCATTTGAAGGAGTATATCGTGTTTTTGTGCTCTCGACTCGCTCGCTTTCACTCTCACTCACATCGTACTGGCTGTTGACTAGCTAGTTGGTTGTGTTTACTCAACTGGCCCGAGATTGTTAGTTCCTTGCCGTCAGCCAAACGATCCTTGTTATTCCGCTTTCTCTCTATTTTTCGGCATCTCGTCGTCGGGCGCTTCTTTTTGGCAGACGGAAACGCACAAACAAAATGATGGTTTTTGTGACACGCTAGCTGGCTGCAGCTATTGCCCCTGCACTGGTTGGAGAATCAAAGCCCTGTCGAGGGACGACAACGATCACTACGAATGGGATCTTTGATATCTTCGGACATGACTGAGACCCTGGCATGAATTTTGGGTGAAATTCAAGTATGTGATAAACGGTTCTGATGCGGTGGAACACTTCATAGCCGTTCAAAGAACGCATCACTTACCAGTCAACATCATCAGGCTAGTCTATTCAGGTGTCACTAACCTCAGTCACATTGTCTGGCTAGTGCGTTCAGCACTTGAGTTGACCTAATCGTCGTCGTGCGCTAGGGTTCAGCGATCGAGGCTTACTCGAATAACATCCGTTGTATGTCGTGTGCGTCTGCCTAGGAGCGCAGCACGAACAAAAGCATTCTGCTGGCGAAGGTTCAAAGATCTTCTGAAGACTAATTCAAAATTTGTTTTCCGTCTGTGTGGGTGGTTCGCCATTGCTTGCTGAGCCCCAATGTGAGCGTGAATAGATGATGGGTGTAATAGATCGGTGACCTCAGGTGAACCGATAAGATCTTCGCGCGACCCGCACTGTCTACCGACGTCTTATACTGATGGAGACAGCCTACTTTTCTCAAGATGAACTTCATTTGGTGTTCTTTTGATCTCCGTTATTTTGTTGTATTTGTGGAAATTTGTATTGGGGAACTTCGACGACATGATCGTAGCGTCGTCGAACAGCTGTTGACGATGTCAAAATCGGGACAGCAGCTGTGTTGGCGAGCGCGAGCATGACCTTTGACGGGTGTACTTCATTCTTCCTGTTGAGATCGAAAGACCACTGAAAAAACATTCGATTTCATCATGTTTCTTATTTTATCATATTATTTTAGTTCGGTCTCGTTGTGACGAGGCCAGTGGTCGACATTTGGTGTTGTTGGCTGCTTCGGATGTAAAGGATTCTTCCGACGAACTGTAAGAGAGACCTTTGATGGTCGAGACATCATTATCTAAACTATGCTCTTTCTTTAAGGTTCGTGCTGGAAAGAACTACATTTGCCGCTATGATCAGAAGTGTCGAATCGATAAAGGTGAGTAATAACTGGTAATATTAGTCATTACCTCCTCGACATCTAGCATTTCCCCAACCCGAAGTTTCATTTTTTCACAGTCTTTGCTTCACTAGTCATCCATTCGGGAAACCGACATATAGCCTATACCAACGTGATTCCTGGAATTAGTCATTTCAAATCAGCAGCTTCACTGGATGTTGTTTTCGGGTGGTCTAGGGCTATTTGAGAGACCAACTGCAGCTGCACAAGCCAGCGAGCAATAGGCGAAAGACACCACAATGTTTTGTGCTGTTGCTGCTGCTGCTGCTGCCAGCTCGTGCTCAGCGCTCGCTCTCGTACATGCTAGTGGATGTAGTCTTGTCTTTGCTTGTGGCGACTTGTGCTCGCTCGTATCTTCGATCGCCAATGCGCTTATCAATTCTTCGCAACATTGAACGGAGGACTTGATCAAGGTCCGCCTTGGCAAACACATTACAAACATCATCGTAGCCCTGCTCTATTTATAAACACGCTTGTCGATATCTTCTTATTTGGACCTCGGGAAGACCACCCTTGCTCACAAGTCGTAGTGGGAAAAAGGAATTTTTTAGAAAGAGCGAGTTTCACGGTTTTAAGGCCTCCTAGATCTTCTACACTGTTATTTGTTTTTTTTTTTCGCTGGTAAATCAAGTAATAAATGAATCAGTCTCCAGTAGCGTCAGCTCTTTCCACCCACCATGTTTTTCCCAGACGGCGGGCGCGAGTGCATGCTTTCAGTGTACAGAAATGGGTTGAGGAAAACATACATGAGTCATCCCAAAGTGGTGGCCGTCAAGCACACGAACATCCAGTCCACACAGTACACATACGCATCAAAACCACCATATGGAATTTATGATGCTCATTTCAGCCTGGACGAAACGTTTGTCGTTCGTGCCGATTTCAAAAATGTCTCGACGTGGGAATGGAAGCCAGATGGTAAGCGTCAAGTGTTCTCGTGTTTTTTGGAACAATTCCATGAGTCCTGCTGAAAAGTGCTATCTTGTTCTCTGACCAAAAAATGTCCCCTCAAGTTTGCTAACCCTTTCTGAAACGTTACCCGTTGTCAGTACTGCCACGCAATTGACAAAAATGGTAGCTCTCTGAACACGTTATTCGTTTACGCGTTATCGCTCGTAAAGTAGAGCGTATCCTGGCTAGTTGCCTCCACACGACACAATTGTCCTATGGTACAGACTGGGTCCTGAACAAGCCCAGTCATGCAGATGACCTCAGTGTAACTAGAGGCTTCCCAACAAGTTTTCTGCAAAATATGACCCTCCCCTTCGAACATCCTCCTCCGGTACGAATCCCTTCCTAGTTCCATCTTCCCAGTTTCAAACGTTTCCCAACTTCCAATAGCTTCTTCAGATTTCCCAAAATTCCTCCACTTCTTCCCAGAAAGCTGCGGGGGCTACAGCGCACCTAAAACAGGAAAAACGGAGAGAAGACAACAAACAACGGCAACTTCCTCAATTTCATATACGGCTGCCCCTTTACTTACAGCAACCAAATACTACCCTACTCGTCGGTGTCGCCTTACCGGCCGCACCTCGGATCTAGTGAATTAGATCCTCCCGAATGGTTGAATACCCAGGCAAAGGATGTAGTTTGAGGTGCGATTTTCCAGTTTTCCTTGTCTCAGCGCTGCGCAGAAATTAGCTGAGTATTTCATAGCTAGGTAACTCTGCAGTGCTTGCATTGGAGCGATTAAATGTCCTGGTGCGAATGCCGCACTTGCGACATCACTTGCAAAGCCGAGCTGGACACTGAACATGAGCATCCTAAGCTACACCTGACAAGGCTGCAGCCTGTATTTTTAATAATTATCCACCTAGACAGAATAACACCTTACTTTTTTCCGTGGAACTGAGGGTGAACTCGTACACATGAGAAGTAAGTAGTATAATAATGATAACGAATTTTTAGCTATCAGACCCGATCGAGACAAAACGGGTCGACAAAAGAATCCAAGGCGAAATGGCACTCATTTGATCAATGGCCTCGATCCGGCCGTTGTGAAAAAACTTTCTGGCGCATCGATGTTCGGCGATTTACCGTGTGTGAACAAGAGGGTAAGATACCGGAAGGGTTTTTGTTTAACCTATTTGGGTATTATGTCAGCAGACAAGAGGCCAAGGATTGGAAGCAACTAGTAATCATCTAATTTTAGGACGATTCTGATGACAATCCAACGTCGCCATCATCACGTGCCGAATCGGCACCTGCTGTTGATGTCCGACCGAATCCATGCGATGAAATCCTAACAACTTTGCGTGAAATCGAGCAAATATGCTTACAACTACGTGATGTAGCCCCAGTATCGCCTATGGCCCGGCCAACCCTTCTGGACTGCGTCCATCGACCGTCGCTAATCACGCCTAGGTCCCAGGTAGGCATTCTAGCAAACGTAATCATAATTTTGCCTCAGCACGCGGTTCGTAGACTGATCTCTGCACATTTACTGCGTAAATACTCACATGAAATCATCAGCAGACAGGAATGAGGAGGAGGGTGGTTTGGAAAACAAGTCACTGCAGCTAACTCGAGTCTAATGCTCGAGTTACTGTCTGTGTAGTTGAACTTTGGTAGGGAAGGACAAAACAACACAAAAGTCAAGAGTCAAAGTTCTAACCTCCTCACAACTTTTACTCTTTATGACGCGTTTGTTCAAACCAACAAAATTTGCCAGGCAATTATGAATTTCACTCAATTTTTTCAACACAGATGGGTTATTAGTCAGTTTTCGGTCTTGATAGCAACTACGTCATCTATCCTTCTTTCAGATGGTTTTCGAGGCCCTCAATGGTCCAGCGAATTTGGCGGTAATCGCGGAAAATGTCCGAAGGATGACTGTATTGGTTTTTGACTATGCGAACACGCTGAAACCAATAGCCGATATACAACCCGAGGAAAAGGTAACGTTGTGGGCGTGTTTTTCGGCCTCTTTCGTATTTTTCTCATCAGAGCAATTCTGGCCCTGTTTCTCTGTTCAAACATAAAGTGTATTCTGTTGTTTGGATAACGACCAGCCGTTCCCCGACAAAAGTAAGGACCGATGCGAACGATGGTGGGGGTGGAGGGGGAGGGAAGGGGGATGTTGAAATGAAGTTGGCAGTTGGACGCAAGAACTACCCTCTTGCTCCACGCCAGGGACTTTTAGATTGATATTTTAGCTGACGATGAGCTTTAGTTCCTCTATAATGCCTTCCACATAAATAATAGTGTATAATGCAATATAGCAAAATAAAATAATAAAAAAAGTAAAATAATTAGAATATATAATATTAAAATAATTAGATTATATAAAATTCCAAAGATTCCACAACTACTGAATACTAGCTTTCTGCTTTTTGCGCTATCCATGGATCTCTGAAATTTGTTTGTGAGGTTTCGAGATCTTACCAAGTTTGATGGGTACTGAACTGCACCAGATAAAAGTAAATATCGCAATATTAGCATCAAAAGGGATGGGCAAAAGCGTTCTTCTGAAAGAATTCTATCTGCCTCATCAAAGGTCACCTCTACGGTTGCTATCTCCCAACAGGAAACCTTCGGCGTGGAAGATCGGGTTTCAAAGACTTTTGCGAAAGTTCTATGGGGATCTTTTGGACCATAGAAGTAACCTCACGGGCTCAATATTGAAGAGTCAGACGTTTGAAGAGGCTCAGCAACTTTAGGTTCCCACTTTTTCTGTTGAGATCTCGTTAAAATTTTGACATGAAATCAGTTCTTCGTCCGGAAATTGACTGCCACCTGAAATGTGTGTAGCATAGTCCAGGCAAGCCTTCGTGCAGCCGGTTTCGGAAAATTTATCCTTTGCTCGTAACATGGCTTTAAGATTGTGGAAGTCATCTCGGCACTCTTTTGGCTCGGGAGGGGACATTTTGCACTTCCGTTAGTTCCTCTGCTGGTTTACTTAATTAACAGGTGACACTTAGTTGAGATGATGGGATCTGTGAATACCTGTGAAGGTGCGAAGTAGTATGATTGAGCCGTATTGGCTGCAAGAGTTTACAAGCCTTCAAGGCGGACTAAACCAGCTTGCAAAGCACCATTTTCTGCCCCTCTAAGCGAACTGCGCTGCGACACCTGTCTGTTTCGCCTTCTACTCATATTCTTGGGTTCACTTTCATCGCTTCATGGCGTAGTCTCTAAAGAAATCACCCCTCTGAGAAACCTATGATAATAACGTGGGCCGTGGAACTCCAGGAGGTGAAGGTTCTGTAGGGAGTCTTACGTGAGCGCTACCGTAAGAGCACCTCATACATAGGGGACCCCCAGCGAGGAGCTGGGGAGAGGGGTCGTTTTTGGTTTAGCGGAAGGGACAAGGATGGTTATATTTGCCTCTGAGGAAATCTTTTTGGCTGTCAGTTTCTCTCGATTTTTTGTTTTGAATGTACTGTACCTCCCTTAGCTCGACCGCAGTGAGTGGAGGATTTTTCGCCAAAAAAACCCAGGAAAATGTTAGAAAATTGGCAGTATTTAAGAATATGTGAGCAAGGATGGGGAACGGGCTAGGGGTCATACCAGAGGAGGAATTCACGAGATTTTGAGAGGGGGAGGTCGCATTTTGTAAAAATGTTCCCTAACGGCAGCGCATGCCTTCAGTAGTTCTATACTTATCAGCTGTTATGTGAACAATAACAGAAGCAGTATATACACTAATCCCTGAGACAGTGTAGGCGTGGCAGGGCATAGAACGGGTTGCTCGTATGATATTTCACTTCGAGGCAACTGTCATTTGTTTTAGTACTAGACAGAGACATGGCCACAACTGTGTCAAAATGAACATATCTCACTAAGAGCACAACCACCGGCATGTTCAGTTGAAGTACGAAACCAGGCCCACCACATCTTAGGGATTTCGAATGTGTGGCAAGAAGTAATGTGGAGTAGAAATCCTCGAAAAATGTTTTTTTTTCAGAATTTTTGAAATTTGTTTTGAATGAACTCTCGTTTCAGATCGCACTGATTCGAAATTGCATCACACCGTTTGCATTGCTCATGTTATGTTTTCATTCATCGAAAAGCGATTCCGATGCGATTGTTCTACCATCTGGTCATACATTACCATCGGACATGTCGCTATTCACATCAGTCCTCGATGACGATAAACGACACCTTCTGATGATCGCCAAATGCGAGTGAGTGTCAAGCAAGCAACGTTTTGACTTTTGGCCCACGGCGATCTCTGGTCAGGCGTACATGTGCGTCGGCGGGTGGCGGCGGCGTTGTTGGTGGGGGGGGGAGGGGGCTAGATCGCTGCTGGCGCCGGTTGTAGTGGCGACGGCGGCGGCTGACGGCGCTGGTTTTACGTCTCATCAAAACTGATCTCTGTGCATCTCAGCACGTCATTGTAGTGATGCACTCGCGTTGATCGCCGCGCCCGATTCGGCGTTTGCGTTGTGATTTTCGTTCAGTGATCTTATGATCAGTGACAAGTCTTTTAGAAAGGGGTTATTGCTTCGCATCCTACTCCACTTCTCCTTTTTTCAGGAGGAAAATAGGAAAATAACCTGGAAAGATACTCTCTCATAGCTCACAACTTTGAGCTAGAAAACAGACGAGAGAGCATAGACGAAGGATACGGAGACAACTAGCGCCTATTAAGCGCTGGGGAATGTGCGCGAGTGTTGGAGAGCAATGGGACGGTGATGTCATCAGGTGGATGGTCAGCGTATTTGCATTGATGTCTGAAGTGGGCGATTCTCATCGCTTGGGCGCTGGTCAATGTTCAGTCATCGTCAACGATCCGTCAATGAGGAACCAAACGCGACGATCAGCGATCGCACGGCCGTTGGTCGCCACCGTCATGAACCGGTTATCGCACGTCGCGTCCCGAAACGGATACCATCAGCACTGTTTCGGTGGCGTCGTCGACGAGATCGCAGACATTTCGGCGACCGACGGTCAACCATTACTTGTACAAAACGATCTCAACGGCCAAGAATATGCCATTTCAAATTGCGAAGTTCAAACTTTCGTACAGCCGTTGGATTGGATTTGAGTCATCATTGCTGCTGCGCTTTGCAGGAAGACATGTGTGTGGGAGAGAGCGCAGCTGAAAGCGAGAGAGTGCGATGGAGATGCCGTCAAAGCGACCAAAGATCGCGCACTTTAAGCAAGCAAGCACGCGCTCAATGATCAGCGTTCGGGCTTGACGGATCGTCGCTCGCGGTTGTCGTGTGCGGCGACGGGTATCCTGAGCTATGCGGAACCTACTCATACCTCGTTGAGGGTTATCACGTATGCTGAGATATCTATGATATGACAAATTATTCCCGTTATTCAATAGTCTTGCTGCTGGCTCAAGGTGGAAGGAAGGGTAGCGGGCTTATCTAAGAATTGGGATAATTTAGCGCAGGACTACGGGTATGTTGTAAAAAAGTACTCGAGTTCAGCTATATATGCTTATGCGAAGCAGAGCACGTTACGTTGGGGATCCCTCCAAGGACGGGTCATATTTGTCGCGAGCTAGATAGAGGCGGGTGGATAGGGTCGTATCTGAGTCCGGAAGAAATGTTTTCTGTTGACCTTTCTCGCTTTCCTGTTTCAGGCGCCCAATGAACCCCATCTCCAACCTCCGATTGTCGGCAATTTTTTGGGGGGAGAAAATGGCGGAACTTTTGGGAAAACAACTAAGGAAAAGGGTTACAGGGCTTTTGTGAACCGAACACGCTTCGCTGTAATGGTTCAGAGGTATATTTCCATCGCATCTACTGGTCCAGCACTTGAGGGGAGAAAGAAAAGGAAGAGAGAAGGAATAAAGGAAAGGAAGGGGAGGCAGGCTTAGTGTTCGGCAAGTATCGGAGAAAAAGTGTTATGAAGTAGGGAAAACTCAGGAAGACGACAAGCAGAATGAGGCGTGGGAGGGGAGGGGGTCTTACCAGTGCAGGAAATTCCTAGGGAGATCGTATTTGGCCAATGTTTGTCCGACGGCAGGACGTCCTTTGAAGCGGAACTCCGCCGCTCACGCCAGCCGTCAACGCCCGTCGTCTGTCTACAGGCCCTTCAAAAATACATCCGATAAACCAAGTAATTTCCTTTTTTTAGAACTGTGCGCCGAGCCCTGGTCGACCAGGTCATGCATCAGCTACGAAAGTTACACGTTAGCGAAACTGAACTGTTAGCCTTAAAGGCAATTATGGCACTGGATCCCAACGTAAAAGGCCTATCGATGAAATCCTCTGGGCATTTACTCGGTAAGTCAATCGATACATTTTCTTTTCATAACTTTCAATGCCTTCCTAGATTTTCATATTGACGAATGCACATTTAGTTGGTCGTGAATCCGTGCAGAATGCTCTGTTTTCACACCTAATGGTACGATATCCGCCATCAGAAGCGACTGCTCGTTTCGGTCACTTACTGCTGTTGATCGCGTCGGTTACGGTCAGTTACGGTATCTTTGCCGTAATTCGTTAAGAATTTTTGCAACGTCTTTTTTTTGAACCGACGAAAAGGTCGTGCAAATCGTCGTCGCCGCGTCGTTCGCTGCCTTTCCTTCTTCCCCGATCAGCACACCATTCTTTATGCGTGCAGATCGGCCTTTTAAAGTAGTCTGTCTGGCGAATTTCTCTTGCAAACCCGGAACGACGATCGTCGTATTGCCAGCCTATCATCGCGTGACTGATAGTGGGGGGAAGGGAAGCGAAGTGAAGGTGAGACGGCGGATGGACGGTATTCGCGACGATCTACGATTTTCGTGTGTCTTCGTGAATACTTGATTTATGTGATCATTTAAAATACTTGAAACATCGGCCAGAGGTCGGAAAATCAGAGGTCATCTATAAAGTTGGGCGCTATTTCAGTAAAGTCGAGTGTTTCGGGTAATTGTGCACTGTGATCCCAATTTTGCAAAAGGGCTTTTTCAAGAAGTCTCCATACTGCTACTTTTGTTTCTGCGCCGTTTTCGAGTTGTTTACTTATTTTCGACAACCTTTGAAGGTGCAAAGATTGCGATAAGGGTATGAGAGTTTTCCTGAAACCCATCGAGCTAGAGGGAGGGGTGCTCCTAGTCGCTGAAGCACTTCACTGAGCGGGAAAATAGCCTGATCTGACGAGGATGTGGTGTAAATGACCTCGAGAAGGGAGCATTCACACATATCCTTGTACAAAACTTTGACTGACATCTCTCAATAAGCGTACTTGGCATTAGTTCAACCACAGCGGAGCTCCTCCCCCTTCAGGCTTAAACCCTGCGGCCACGATTGCAAGTGGTGGGCGCAACGTCTTGAGCGCCAGTGCTAAGGTAACATCCCTCCCTCAGAAGAGTTGCGCCAAACTGGGCTCCAAAACACAGCCATAAGTTTCGAGCGTAAATCGCTAGTCTTGAAATAATCGCGCAGAGTCCATTGCGCTCAGCTAGCAGAGCTTATCCTAGCAAGTCACTGCGCGCAACGCAGCATTTATTTTTCTAAACGGCTGTTTGACTACTTGAACTTTTGTACATGATCCTGTTGCGAAACCATGTCTGCAGACAGCTACAGTACAGCGGCTTCTCAAACATGGAGTGGTGTAGGAAACATCTATCGTGCCAGGTTAAGGACTTGTTCGAGGGAGAAAGACCTCGATGTGGATGAGCTGCTTAACATGCGTAAAGCTGGACCTGCGAGACCGCAGTGGTCATAGAACTCACGCAGACGAGAGAGTCAGAGAAAAACAGAAAATTGGCGCGATGGTGGGGAACCAATTCAAGATAATCGTTGACTCGAATAGGGTCTCGGGTGAATGCCGCGCGCGTGAGTCCGTTGCAGAACTCATTCGCCGCATTCGCCGCCGCTCCAGTCTGAAATGTGTCCTAGTTCTTTTTATTTTTCACTACTACTCTAGTCTTTTCACTACCCTTTTACTATTACCATTTGTTTCAGAAAGTTGCGTCAACATTAACCGGCCTGGTACAATTCAGTAAAGACATCTCTCTCGGAGTTGATCCGTTACTAGACGAGTTACTATTGAAGGAATTCTAACTAAATCTATCAAATGGGACATTACTAAGCAAATCTATTGAAATGCAATCAGTCAGACGTTCTACTGTGCTCTATGGTTGCGGGTCATTCATGCACACACAAACACTCTATTGATATACGATTAGCCGTTTTGTGTATCGTGTTTGTTTGTTGTTTTTTCATATATTATGAAATTTCACTACTACTAGTTATTCTATTGAATTCCCTCTTATTCTTTCTTCGGTCTTCCCGCCACCATCCCTGACATTACATTGACATTGCCAGAATGAGTTACTATACCGTAAAGTTGATGCGTAGATTATTGTGATAACGTACTGTATCCCATTAATTGTTTTCATGGTGTAGACGTACGTTTTTGCTCAGCTTTTCTTTTCGGTTCATACCGCTGTGACCCTCTCATAGACACACTTTCACCGACTAAGGGTAGATCTATGTTTTTTTTGTTTATTTGATTGTTTACTTGCTCTCCATCTATCACCTGCAATGTATGCGACGCTGCCGCGCCGCACTGCGTCGCGTATGCACGCTTCATTGTCATTGTTTGTCCGTATGTATTAAACGCGTTATATCATCAGTGTGTTTCCCCCACCATTTCCCTTACTCACGGCCGATCATCAGTTCCCGTTCTTTCACCCGTTCATTCTGGGATTTTGCCTATTTCGCATTATATATGTATGTTTTTATTATTTGTTGATGTCCATACGTACATATACGGATACGTAAATGTATGTAAATATCATTCGTGTTTCCCCCGTAATGTTTCTCTCTATCATACACTCTTTCCATAGGTGGTATAACCGTCCTTGCACGAGCACATTGCTCTTAAACCCCGTGTCATTTTCGTGCTTTGATCAGTCATTTGAAAGTATTCGGGAATTTGTGATAAAAAATTAAATCTAATAAAGCGTACTCTATATGATCGGTGTTCAGTCAGAAGTAAACGGACCATAGTAATGGTAAACACAGTTGATGCGGTCATGAGTGCGCCACACTCTTCCATCTACCGGAAGTGGAGTGGGAGTGGCTGTGGATGGACTTCACGCTCCATGTACCGGAAATGGAGCGGACATAGTTGCGTACTTCATTGGCGTATGATGCGTTTTTTTCTGGGATACTTCTTTGAGAGAAAATGTAGTGCTGTTCTTTTCTGGATTGACACATGATTAATGTTATGAAAAAAGGACCAACGCAACGTCGCCGCTACGCTCAAATGAAGTGCGCAGCCACGCCCTTTCTACCTACGAGGCATGATGTGTATTTGGCGGCGGCTGCACTGTTGCGTTCTATTCTCCTTTTGAGCAATTGTGATCTTGTCTCGAGTGGACCTGTATGCCAAGAAACGCACTCACGTCCTGATATAGTGATGCGTGCAACCACGACCGGCCCATCCCCGCGATATGGGATACGTGTGAAAATGCCGCGCTAACTTGTGCTACGTGGCGATCATTGGATCGGAAACGGACTTTGCACTAGAGCGACTGTGTTAAGAAGAAGAAAATTTAGCGCTAAGATTCACATGAAACAACAACATCCTTCTTCCTGAGGTTTTGTAAGTTTCTGAGGGGCACGCAGAGCCGAAAGCGGAACCAGGGGGGATAAATAGATGGAAGGATTTCACATTATATGGGAGCTCTGTTAGATTTCATTGGAGGTAGAAGATCTAAGCAGTCATGGCTTCGAATAATCAGTAATGATCAGTGGTGTGAACCTTCTCTCAGAGAGAGGATGCACATTGAGGAAAAGTTTATCAAAAATGTAGTTTCATGGTGAAACGGGTGCTAATGGAAGTTGGCGGGAATGGCTGTCAGTACCTTCAACACCTGAACTTAATGTAGTGGGAACGATTACTAAAGGCGGACGATTACTGAAAAGTCACTGATGCAAGGGTTGCGAGAGGGCGCTTTGCCACACCCTAGTCCTTCCACCAGTGAAGTTGGCAGAATTCGCCCGCTCGCAGACATCGCCCACTGCTTTTAATTAGTACCTGGATCAAAGGCGAAAGTGAAATCGAAGACTCGAAGCCGTCTGCTTCAGAATCAATGATGCGGAGAGAGTTGAGGCCTTTGGAGGGAAACAAATGGTCCAAAGGTCAGAGCCAAAAATGCAAGGGATGGCTACATTTTTGAGTCATTTGGTATAGTAGACTTCGAAGCGCAGGGAGAACTACCGTGGAGTTCAAAGAGGGAAGACGTTTTCAAGAAGGAACTCACTGAAGCAATTGCCACAGTTGAAGATACCTTAGGTTGAAGTAGCGACGTCTAACAAGAACAGCGGACGCGTCCATTGGAACAAGGGTCATTCGGGCAATGTCAGTACGGCTATACGGCTATCTAAATGTACTGTGCATTCCTAGGAACGCTGCTAGATGGCAATCACCTTGTTCTTACAATCTCAGGCAGCTAGAGTCCCTTTCATGTATTGTAGGCCATTCGAGAATCTTACCGAGTCGAGTAAACCACTTCATTTAGAGCTTTGTGGACTTTACCACGGAATCAGATAACTTCGAACTACAACTTCTTTACCAACAATTCGCGAAAACGTGTCCACACTATTCACCTCAAAGGAAAATGGTCATGTTCAAAGAATTTAACGCTTCAATGCTCGCTTAGAATGTTCTTCGTGCAGAACGGTTTCAATGGTTTCATTTAATGCCACTTGAACACGATATAGCACACGAATACGAGGGCTAATTAGGTACTTCGCTCATGCTGAAACTGAGCTCGGAAAAAACCTCTTCGAGGATGTCTCACTCTGGTTTTTCTAGTGAGCAATTTCCCTGGCTATGGTTTTCTGGCACTGATTACTCTAGCATAGCTCTTTCACATTCAAGCGAATATATTGCACCCATTCATGCGGGGGTTTTACCCAGGGCTCCTTCAGCGTTTCCCTGCTTGGAGAGCCATGTATTACAAATAATATCTCAACGAAGGCGACCAAACTAACTGCAGCTGAGGGTCGCGGTGTAAGAAACGGTGACGAACCTTCCGGCCTTGAGTTCAGGCGTAGCAATCCATTTCTAGCTTAGCCCCTGAAATGCCAAATTACCTCCCAAAGGAAATACTGATTACTGCTGTTGGGGGTTCTACATAGTAAGCCTGTAGGTAAGACCCTTTTTGCATGGACAACTTGTCGTGAAAGTGTTCGGTCCCCTTTTCCGATAAGCCCTATCCAGAATGGTGGCGCCTGAGGAGCTCGAATCCTGGAATCCTGGCTAGGCTGTACAACACTTGCTGAAAAAGAGCATGACGTCCCGAAAGAGCCAGAAATGTCCTATCATTGATTGTCAAGGGATAAAAGTTTTCATGTGCGCCTGAAGTTTCGATCAACTCATGTGATCCGACTGTAGAGATAAATCCCTACAGGAGAGTTTATGGAATTGGGGTATTTGGTAGATTAGGACGCTGTGATCTCAGCTCCAGCCCTATGTATACCCTGAGATCGGGTAGGCGTGGCTGCATTCTTCAACTTAAACTGAAGAATTCTATGCATCTGGTGAGATATTTTCATCTTGACACTATTGCTGTCGGGTCTCTGTCCAACACAGAACAAGATGACAGTTGCCCCAGACTGGAATGTTCCGCGAGTAACCAGTTCCGTGCCATGTTTACATGCCACGCCTACTCTGGGTCAGGGATAGGGAGTGTAGGTACCTCAAATAACGAGTATCACTTCGAAAAGTAAATCAACGCAAAGGCGTAAGTAATGAAGAGAAGAGGTAATTTAATTGGAAGTGATTTCCTAATTACTATTTTCCACCTCCTCTCACTTGATTGCGGCTCTCTCCTAATTAGGTGCGCTAGTTGTTGACCTTTCGATAATTTTCTGAGCTCATGATCATAAAATAAACTTTTACCATTGAGAAGCTTTCGGCGCTCAGCACTGTCTGCAAAAAATCGCATCTGGTAAAGTGCCATCTCAATTAGGTGCACTAAAGTGTTTATCCTGCGATCAGGACGGCGTCTCTGGGAGGATCCCATCAGGGGACGTGGGGAAACGGGCAAATTTGGCCTCGATGGGGATATTTTTGAGCTGGCGTCAACACTTTTTTTCGTCTGTACTTTTCTGGGTTCTCTGTTTTTCCCGCTTCGTGCTTGCTACGTATCGCCCTGGTTGCCCGCCTAGCAGCACTACGATGTAACTACTATTTCTGATAGTTGAAAATAGTAGCTGATTAATGACGAGCATCCCACCTCTCCTCACACCCCCTCCCGCCCTTTTCTCGGCTCAGTAGCATTTACTGGGGAAAACTGAAAAAGGAAAGGAAAACAGAGAGAAAGTTAGGTAGAAAGGGAAGGATCGCCCAAAGCGAGGAAATTTGAGTGAGGGACGGGGTCGTATTGACGCCACCACTTCACTCATCATTTTGTACCCGCTCGGGATATGTTCGAAGGAAGGAGTGACCCTTGGACTGGGACTACCTGACTAGACCTTTGGTTGGGGTACTGGTGCGAATACCAGAGCACAGAGAAATAGTGTTGGGGGTGCCAAGGTGCGGAAAGCGCAAAAAAGGTGTCGTGAGCTAAGGGCTGGGTTTTTTAGAGGTATAGGACCCCGGCGTAGGCGAGCTACATGCCATGTCCCTAGTCTTCAAATAGATAAGGTCACGAGGGTTAGAGAACGGTTGTAGACGTGAGAGGGCAGAGAAAAGCAGTAAAAATGACTCGATCAAAGAAGTTGCGTTGAAGTTGTCCGTATGCCGTGAAATAAGAAAGTAGTACTAGATACTGCGAGCCTGCATTCCAGAGATCCTGAGGTATTGTCTGGGGCTGAGTAGTGGAGTGGCTATAGCCCAATTCGTAAGCAATTCGTCTAAACATATCCAACCGTATACTGAATACCTGAATACTAAAGAGCTTGTAAGCTCTGTATTTCAGATTCTGTACTTAAACGAGTCCTCACTTTTGTACGTCTCTTTCGCTGTAGTTTTTTTTTATTCTACGAAAAGCTATCTCAAGGTCGAGTCCTTCAAAAAGTGGGTCTTCTTGTTTCAAAATCGGCCA